AATACCATTAATTAGCCTAATAAAGAATTAGCTAGGCTACTGTTTTATTATATTGCAATTTATTTTATTTTATTTTTTTAAAGACTTGATTTATTTGCCAGAGAGAGAGAGAGAGAGAGAGAGAGAGCAAGAGTACAAGCAGGGGGAGCAGCAGGCAGAGGGAGAGAGAGAAGCAGGCTCCCCGCTGAGCAGGGAGCCCGACGTGGGACTCGATCCCAGGACCTTGGGATCACGACCTGAGCTGAAGGCAGACGCTTAACCAACTGAGCCACCCAGGCGCCCCGTATCACACTGCATTTTAATTTATATTGTGTTAGGCTACTAATAACTATAACTTATCCTAATATAAGAACCAAGGGAGGACAGTGCATCGAGAAGGGGAAAGAGGGGAACAGTGTTGAATGTTGCACAACGATCAGATAAAAAGGACTGAAGAAGGTCCACTGGCTTTGGCAACGAAGAGGTCACTGATGACTCTAGTGAGCCCTTCCAGGGGCATGCTGGGGTGAAATGGGAGGTAAAGAAGTACATACAGCAAGTGCAGTCTTCTCTTTGAGGAACTTGGATGTGAAGGCAAGAGAGGAGAAGGATCTAGAAGGGACTTGTATCAAGCATGGTTACCGTGGAGCTGGGGGGAGATTGGGGGGTTGAAGATGCTGGAAAAAGGATGAGCTCACTCAGGAGTGAGGCCTCTCTGGAGGGGCAGAGGCTGAGACCATGAGCTCGGGTGGACGGGAGGGAAATGTGTGTTCCCAGTCGGGCTCGGACTCATGCACAGAGGCACACAGATTCGCACGCACATGCAAGAGACAGAAGAGCAGACGAGTGTGAAGACAGGCAAGTTGACAGCTGTGGGAGCAGGGAGGCAAAAGAACTTTCTAGAGAGCTTCCATTTTCTCTGAGAAGTAGGAGAATAGGTTGAGGGGTGCTGTGGGGGAGGGGAGAGACTTGGGCAGAGCTCAGTTGAGAGAAGGAATCTGCTAACAAGGCAGAGACAGTTGGAAACCCAGAGTTGGTGGAGCCACCAGATTTCCTGGGGGTGGGGGCTGTTTCCAGCTGAGCTTAGCCTCTGGGGTCTAGGAGTGCAGCAAGCAGGTGGATAGGCCCAGGGTGGGAATTCTTCCCATTATAGGCACAAGAATGAGCCTCTGAAGTGATGGATCCAGAGGTTGGGCAGGGAAGGAAGTTGAGCCAGGGGTGGGGGGCAGGAATTCAGCAGAAAATGGAGAAGCATGGAGGGAGTTGGGGAGGGCACAGAGCAGCTGCATGGAAAGAGGGAGGCCTGGAACGGGGCGGGGGGTAGGGGCGGAGGTTGGCTAGTGGAGGCTGCTTACCTTTCCAGCTTTGCAGAGAGCCCCAAGGCCACGCTGGATGACAGCAGGACTTGGGTTGGAGAGGCGTTCTGGGAGTTAAGAGCCAGAGTCTTTAAAATATGGGGGTGAGGGTGGGGCAGATAGTGGCAGGAGCCTTCCCTCTGCCCCTAGCCTGGCTTCCCTGGGCCTCAGTCCCCATTTCCTCCTGGGCTGAGTGACTTCCTGTAGCACAGGACAGGGCTGTTGGGAGGCAGATGTGGGAGATCCCCTCTGCCCCCACACAGACACTGACAGGCAGAATAAGTAATGACCTCTTAGATTTATGTGGCAGAGCTTAGCCATTTACAAAGGCTTTCACATCCCCTACCTGTGCAATCAAGTTTTTGTTTTAGCAGAGGAACAACTGAGGGATTAAGATGCTCAAGGACCTGGGGCACCTGGGTGGCTCAGTTGTTAAGCATCTGCCTTTGGCTCAGGCCATGGTCCCGGGGTCCTGGCATCGAGCCCCGCATCGAGCCCCGCTGGGATCGAGCCCCGCATCAAGCCCCGCATCAGGCTCCCTGCTCGTTGGGAAGCCTGCTTCTCCCTCTCCCACTCCCCCTGCTTGTGTTCCCTCTCTCGCTGTGTCTCTCTCTGTCAAATAAATAAATAAATCTTAAAAAAAAAAAAAAGATGCTCAAGGACCTATCGTTGTCGGGGGTTGCTTTGCCCCACATCACATCATGTGATGTCCATAGACCATGGCCTCTCGACCTTGATTTTGTTGCCATGGAAAAGGAAGGGAAGTGTCCCCAGCCCTTGACCCCTTTCATGGAGGTACAGGTCTTGTCACGGGGAAATAAGGCACCTGCAGTTTCCCAGGGCGGGCACAGTGGAGGGAAGACGGGACACTGGGGATCCATTCCCGGGTTTGGGGGGGATTCCCGATCCCGTGGTTGTGGCCACAAGGCAGCAGGGCCGGCGTGGGGAGCCATGTGCCTCCTTTGGTGTTTTCCTGGCCTGGAGGATGAAGATCTATAAGCCGGAGCTGGAGAGGGAGTGGGGGAGCCCCCGTGAGGAATTGTGTCTATGGCTTATGCGGGCCTGTATGTCTGTTCACTTGTGTCCCTTGGTCCTGTGAACAAGGGAGCCTTGTGTACGTGTCCATGAAGTGGTTCCTGACATGTTCCTGAATTGGGCAGATGTCTCCGGCCATGCACACACATGTGCGTGAGCCTGAGTGTGTCTGGGGATGCACACCTGCATCTCTTGATCCCAAGCGCACTGAGCGTGCATCTGTCTCTTGGCTATGCAGGGCTCTGTGTCTAGGAACTTGTAAGGACATGTCCCCTCTGCATTGAGGCAGAAACTAGGTCAGCGTGTGGGCGGGAGTGAAGTTAGGGATCAATTCTCCAGCAGTAACAGGCAGAATGTGGGAAGATGACCGGGGTGGAGGAGGGGGAGGGCACAGCGAAAGGTATTCTTGGGATCCTGGGAACCCCCAGCCTTTTCCTGACACCTGTCCTGGGGGGAGGGGGACAAAGAAAGGAGCAGAGTAGGGGAGAACCTTCCCACACAGGGACTGGGAATGGGGGACGGGGGAGAAAGGCAGAGGCCCAGATGTTGGGGCTTGTGGGGTGGGGGAGCCCGATGTCGCAGGAAATGGATGTCTGGGGCTTTGGTCAAGAAAAATGTCTCTTTTTCCCCGTGGAAAAAATGTTGGCGTCCCTCTTGCCTGATACCGCCAGACCTGCCACAGCAAGAATCCAGAACGATACCCTTCCCTCCATCCCTTCCTGCTCTCCCTTTGCCTGGAGGCGAAGAGAAGCTGCAAGTAGGCCCCAAATAGCCTCTTGCCTCTTGGGTGGGGAAGAGGATCGAGGGCTTTCTGGTCAGATGGGGGGGGGGTGAGGGCTAGATTTAATTAAGAAAAAGATGGAGAGTGTCTGTGTCCAGATACTGATGGGGGGGTCTTTGCCAGGGATCTGGGGAGGGGAAACCTCCATTAATTCTTTTCTTGTCCCTGGGGAAGGATGCAACAGGGTCAGGGCACCCTGCCCAGGAACCTGGCTGCATGGGAAGGGTCTCCTATCCCAGGGAGTGAGAATCCTGACTCCTCTGGGCCCTAAGTCCCCCAACCAGAGAGACACTTGTTTGTCTCTCCCCCCCCAGTGCTGGACACCCTTCAACCCAGGCCCCTAAGCCCTAACCCCACAACCCTGCATGTCCCTGTGTGAACTGGGAGCAGGGAATCAGATGCCAGGGGCCCCGGGTAGAGCAGGGGGCCCTCCCCAGTGGCTGGGCCTCCCTGGATAGGACATGCTGTCCCCGTGCCAGGGCCCCGTGCCGCCCTGGCCCTGCCTCCACCTTCCTGCTTCCTCCTCCATCTGAGCTGATGGGGCGGCAGCAGCACCTTCTCTCTCAACACCTTCCCCCTGGGGCCCAGCCAAGTACCACTCAGCCCGAGGCCAGCAGGCTCTCGGCAGCACCAGCGCAGGCTCCTCGGCTCCTACCCTTCCTCTCCCCTCTGACGCACCCCTCCCCTCCCTTCCTGGCTTCCGAGGCCCAGCAGTCCACCGAAAGCCCTTGCCCTGTCTGGGGCCCATGCTGTGGGCCTTTAAGTCAGGGGCTCTGTTTCAGGCACCCCATCAGTCCAAACCCTTGTGTGCTCCATGTCATTCTGCACCCATGTGGGTGTCAGGTTAGTCCTTTGTGGGCTCTAAGTCAGCCCAGACCCCGGTAGCCATGGCGGGCTCCACTTCAGTCTCGTTCCTCACAGGCTCCAGGATACTCCAAAGCCACGGGGGTCCTGTATTCATTAGCTCAAGCCACTCCGGGCTGGGAGTTCCAGGTCAGCTTAGGTCCAGGTCAGCGCTGTATGGTCGTAATTCCTTGCATACCGCTGGACACCGTGGATAGACGCCATCTGCATCAGCACCCTGGACCCCTAGGGACTCCTGTGGGTTCTATGTCCATCTAAGCAAAGTCACCTTCATGTTGTTCTAATTCCTTGCAGACCCTTGCCGCTCAATTGGAATTTGAGGACCAGCAGCACTGGCATCATCTGGGACTTGCTGGAAACGCAGCATCTCAGATCCCACCCAGACCTTCTGAATGGGAGGCTGTGTGGGTCACCGGACCACTATGATTTGTAGAGTGAATAATGAACAGCATCACTGTCAACCTCACGTCAGCTTGGAACAAGGCGGAATCACACTGACCCAATGCCCTGGGAGCTCTGTGACGCCCAGACCAATGTGGGTGCCACATTACAGAGCCCCCAGGGCCCCCTGAGAGTTGAGGTGCTCTCCCTGTGACTCCTGTGTCTCCCGCCTTTCTCTTCTTCCCTCCTGAGGCCTCACCTCTAACCAATTCCCTTCTCCAAAACCAAATGCCCGCTCCCCTGCCCTGCAGCTCTGGTCCCCTCCACTCGGAGTCCAAGCACAAAGGGCTTTTGTCATCCCCACTCTGAGCTCGGCTTTGGGGATCCTCCTGACCCTCCCTCCCCACCAGCCGACCTCAGGCCACCCCAGCTGGAGGCTGCTGTGGTAGTTTTCCACGCCTTCTGTTCTCTGCCTCATACACACGTTGCACAGATAGATCCAAAGTCTATATCTATATATACTTCTCACTCCCCCACCCCCGGACGGCATGCGTCTCGTTTGCCAGGCTGTGGTCGTGCAGTCTGTCGCTCGTTAAGGCACTGTCTCAGATTTGCATGTTTAATATTTTATCCAGGAAGCATTCCTGGCTGGGGCACTGGGAGGTGGTGTGAAGCCGACAGAATGTCAGACCCTGGAACGATGGCTCACGGGTGGTGGCGGTGGGACGAGTGTCTGGGGGACTGGAGAATGGTGACGCCAGTTCCTGGCTGCTTGTCTGGCTTCGGCGTGGGGGTGGGGGTGGGGAAAACATCTCAGAGATCAGCACCCCTGGCCTGTGCAGGGAGCCTCCCTTCCTCGGGGCACTCAGCCGCTGGAAGGGTGAACTCCGATGTGAACTTGTTATTTTAGCTTCAACAGCTCCTCCAGGTCATTTCAGGGTCTGGGGATTTTCCAGTGGGAAGCAGCCCTTTGGTTCCATGGAGAAGTGTCGAGTTGCCCCCGAGCCAGGGCAAACCATGGAGGTGGACAGAGTGGGTGGGAGGAGGTAGGTGGGAGGGCAGTGAGTGTGGCCAGTGCTGTGCGACCTTCGGGTGTCATTGAGCTCTCTGGGCTCCTGTGAGTGACAGGGGAGGACCATCAGCATCTTCACTCCCTCCCGGGCATGTTGGAGACCTGAGTTAGTGGAAGGCAGTACAGGGTGTTCAGGGCGATCTTTTCTGTTCCCAGATATTTGTAAAGACCTGAGCGGGCAGGAGGGGGAGAGGCAGGGGAAGATGAGGCTGTACCCCAAGGGCAGATGGAAAAATCTGAAGATGGAAGGCAGGGGGAGGGGAGCACAGACAGACACAGGCCTTTCATTCTGACCCTTGGGAGGCATGAAATGCCTGATTGTGCCTGTGTCCAGAGGCTCAGTGGGGCCTGGAGGTTGGGAGGAGAAGGGAGAGCCTGCTCCATCCCCCAAGACCCTTGGGAACAAGATCCCCACACATTCTGCTGTAGTCTGGCAAGGCTCCTACAGAAAGGCCTTCTTAGAGAGGGCAGGATGGGGCCTGGCCCCAGACCCTGCTCACCATCCCCCTCCTCTGCCCGGGCTCTGGAGGTTTATCAGTGCAGGGCTTAGCCCTGGTTGGGGGTAGGGGCCAGGAAGGGGTGTGGGGGAGGGTGTGTGTGATTAGCTCTCAGCCTGCCACTGGACTTGATCTTAGCCAAAAGGCCGAGAAGCGATCAGCCTGCCACTGGGACACCCTCCTGCCCCAGAGCTGCCTGCCCCACAGCTGTTCCCGTTGCTCCTCCCCCAGGTACCAAGTTGGGAAGTTCTTCCTGGTGTCTTGCCTCAGTTCTTTCTGCTGCCACTTCAGTGCAAAGACTCTCTGTTCTGCCACCTTCGGGGATTAGGGCCCCTCATGTCCTGGGGTTTGCTGCTTCCGCCACCCAGGAAAAGGCATTGCGGTTTGATATGGAAGCTTGGAAGCCTGGTCTGCTTCTCTGGTCCATTGCTCTGCCCACACACATGAGGGCTTGGCCTCTCTGTCAAGTGATACCCTCCTGTCTGCATCCCCACCATCCACCCGATAAGAAGGAGCTGGAGAGGAGGCTTCCGGGGCCTCCAAACAACTCCAACGGACTCCACCAAGCCGTGTACCAAAGCACAGACATAGTACATGCTGGCGAGTGCTCTGCTCCTCATAGTTCTCCCCTTCTAGATCAGTGGTTTGCAAGCTGGTGAGTGTTCTGCTCCTCATAGTGCTCCCCTTCTAGGTCAGTGGTTTGCAAAAGCCTTTACACTTGGGACTTTTTGTCCAAAGCGTATGATGCAGAAACAGAGAAACAAAGCCAGGAGAAGTCCAGCTGCTGTGATGGAACCACTGGTGGAGCTGGTGAGGCCTGCCTGCTCTATACCTCCTGCCTCCTGGAAGCCTCTCTGGCCCCTCCCGCCACCCCCTAGGGGCTCCTGAGAGCCTCCCCCCACCCCCGCAGGAGTCCCAGGGCTTGGCAGGGCACAGCTAGAAAAACACTGATCTGCAAAATCTCGTTTCTTAACTCTTGGAAGCTGCCAATCAAAAGGAATGGGGCGCCTGGGTGGCTCAGTTGTTGGGCGTCTGCCTTCAGCTCAGGTCATGACCCCAGGGTCCTGGGATCGAGCCCCGCATCGGGCTCCTGCTTGGTGGGAAGGCTGCTTCTCCCTCTCCCACTCCCCCTGCTTGTGTTCCCTCTCTGGCTGTGTCTCTCTCTGTCAAATAAAGAAATAAGATCTAAAAAAAAAAAAAATGGGGGCCGGCAGAAATAGGAGTGTGACAGTCCCACCGGTAAAACTCGATGGCAAGGGAAGAAGAGGCAGAATGATGCTAAAAAGCAGACATGCACCCTGAAGGGCTCAAGGCTGAGTTTGGGGGTGACCTTGAATGCTCCTCAAGAATCCCTGGGGGCTGGACTGAGTAACAGCACCTGCTCAGAGTGGGGGCCCTGGGCTGTGAAGGGAGGGTCATGTTTGGTGGAAAGGAATGAGATGCGAAATTTAAGACTGCCCTCTACAATGGTTCAAGTACAAAAACATGGAACAAGCTGGGTCCTTGAAGGTGAACTCTAAGCTCACTGAATACGTCGACTCACCCAAGGAGCGCAAGACCTCAGCGTTTTGAGCGGTGGTTCTCAGCTGCTGGGATGGTCTTGGTCGCCCCCACCCCCACTCCAGGGGACATTTGGCAATGTCTGGAGACATTTTTGGTTGTCACAACTGGGAGAGGGCTGCTACTGGCATCTAATGGATAGAGAGTGACCAGGGATGCTGTTGAGCATCCTGGGAGGCACAGGAGAATCCCATTCAACAAAGCCCAGCCCCAAATGTCCATATGCTAAGTTGAGAAGCCTTGGTCTAGAGGCTAGATGATACCGAGGTCTTTGCTGTATCTGTTTATTTCCCCCACTAGAATATGTTCCTGTAAGTTAGAAATAATGAGTCTTCTACTTGTCTACAGCATCTGCCTCTGCACCCAGTAGGCACTTTACAGGTATTTGTCAGATGAATGTATGAACAAACAACTCACCTGGACAGGGTGGGCAGCCCTCTGCTTCAGGTCCAGAGCCCAGTTTGCCTTGGAGGAGGTGCCTACTAATTCTCCAGTTTAGTTCATAGACCCTGCAAGGGATCCTGACCCTGGACAACTCTGGGAGAAAGCTGGGGAGGGCTCACCCAAAAGTGCTTGAGCTGTTGATTCAAAAAGAACAGATGCTCATTCGAAAATGTAATTTACATATCATTTGCATATCACTTTGAATATCATTTGCATGCTGCTCCTTTAAAGTCAAAAGGCACAGATCTCCTGCCCTGTCCTGTCTTTCCTGCTTCTACAGAGGCCTCCGTCCTGCCCCTCCTCACTTTCTTTGCACACTCTCCTGGGAACACCCACCTGTAGGGCTCACATTTGCTTAGGTTCCCCGGGGCCCAGCGCAAAAAACTTAGGAAATTTGCAATGTGAGATGCCAAAAAAAAAAAAAAAAAAAAGGCAGGCCCCTTGCATTTTGCCCAAACCTTATGGTCAAGGTTGTGGCCTTTGGTGTCCTACGTGCTTGAGTTTCTATCTGGCCTCTGCCATTTCACAAACTGTGTGATCTTGAGCAAGTTATTCAACCTCTGCCCCTCAGTCCCTTCATCTGTGTAATGGGGGCAATAATATTCACCTCATAGACTTACGGTGATGATTCAACAGGAAAATCCATCGAAGTGCCAGGCATTTGGTAGACACTCCAGAGCTGGCCACTGCTGTGCTTGCTGTTAACCGTCTGGTTTCTTTGAAGTCGCTGTCACCAGGGAGGAGCCGCTCTTCTGAACTTCTTGCTCTGCAGCCAGTCCCTTCTCTGATCTCTTTCCTTCTTGCAACTCTCTCTTCTCTTGGCTTTGAGTTGCTGCAGTCTTCCGGGTTTCCTCCCACCCTGCTGGCCTCTCCTTCGTCTGATTCCTTCTCCTCTGTCCTACCCCTAAAGTTTGGAGGGCCCCAGGGCTTGGTCCAGGACCCCTCATCTTTTCTCCTTGGGTGTCCCTGGCTTTACCCATGAGCCCCATGCCAGGGGCCCTCAATGATCTCTTCAGCCTGGAGACTAATAGTCAACATCTACCTGGTACCTCTACTCCCGATGTCTAAAAGACATTTCAAGAGCCACATCGTGATTCCTCGTCCTTTTCTTCTTCCAGGCTTCCCTACTTTCAGTCAATGGCACTGTCCTCTGCTCAGTTGCTCAAGCCCCAAACTCAGAATAAGCCTTTGATTTCTCTCTCTCTCACTGCCTGTGTTAGTTAGTTATGTATTGCTGTGTAACAGATGACTTTCCAAAACACAGCGGCTTAAAATAATAAGCATTTATTATCTCACACAACATATGCTTTTTTTGGGTCAGGAATCCGGAAGTGACTTAGCGGGGCTTCCGAGTTTCTCGTGAGGCTGCAGTCAAGATGCCAGTGAGTGTGTAGACACGTAGAAGGCTTGCCTGGGCTGGAGGATCTGCTTCCAGAGGGGCTCATTCACGTGCCTGTTAAGTTAGTGCTGACAGTTGTCAGGAAACCTACGTTCCTTGTCATGTGGATGTTATAGCGCTCTTGAGTGTCCTTATAACATGGCAGCTGGTTTCCTCTGGAGTGAGTGATCTGAGAGAGAGAGAGAGAGAGAGCAAAGAGGAAGCCACAATGTCTTTTCAGATCTTGTGTCCAAAGTCATACACTGTTAATTCTGCTGTAGTCTATTTGTTAGGATGAGTCACTAAGGCCAGCCTGCATTCCCCGGGGAGGAGAATGAAGTTCCATCTCGTGGAGGGAGGCATTGCAAAGAATTTGTGGATGTCTTTTAAAACCACTGTCTAAATATGTCTTGAATTATCTACTTCTCTTCATCTCCACAGCCCCGCATCCCAGGCCTACTCACGCTCATTGCTCACCTCTGCTGTGGCAATGTCCTCCTGACGGACGGATGTTCTTGCTTCCGGTCCATCTACAGTCCCTTCTCTGCGAAGCAGCCAAGAGAGCAGTGGGGCAAGGTAAGTCAGATGTGGGGGCCTCTTGTGAACGGTGATAAATTGTACCCCCTTTCCCTTTTAAGGGCTCACTCAAATGGTAGTGAAGAAAGAGGGAAGACATAAATCCACAAGGACAGAGAAAACAGTATCTCAGCAGATAGAGGATTTCAGCAAAGTTGTGGATGCTTTGAAGAGGGTTGAGGAAGAGTCACAGATGTAGTGACCAGGACAGAGGGAGACAGAAGATGAGAGGGGAAAGGGGCTCTGGAGGCCCCAGGCTGCACAGAGGGGCAGAGGTGGAAGAACCGTTGACCCCTCTACCGCTGCCCTGCACAGAAAGGCAGAAACAAGTTTCCCACGTTCAGACAGAATACCAGAAGTTTGTTATCTGGAGAAATGGAAGGCTCTAGAGAAAAATTCCCTATACTAACATTTGGAGCATTCCTGGTGAAACGGCTGGCTCTTTGCCCAACCACTAAAAAGCAAAATCACCAGTAAAAAAAACCAAAAACCAAAAAACGAAAAAACCTCACTCGTGCCCATGGAACGTCCAGTTTGCTTTTTAGTGCTCGTCCCTTAAATACACATCGCTGAACAAGGATCATTTGACAAATGAAGAAAACTCCTGTGTCAGTTCGGGTCCTCGGGGAAACAGACACCAAATAGAGCTAGAAGTGCACGGGATTTACTGAGATTTACTGAGATTTACCGGGCAAAATACTTGTGGAGAACACAGAGAGGAGGGAGCAGAAAGAAGTCAACGGGGAAAGTTTTTAGACTGCGATGCAGGACTGGCATGCGAGAAACAGAGGGAAGGAAGGAGGACTGGGGAGAGAGGGAGTTTCAGCCCGTGGTGCAGCTGAGCGAGTCCCAGCCAGAGCTCCAGAGCAAAGACAGCCCGCTAGAGGAGTCCGCTGGGCAGAACCACCTCGGTGCTTGTACCCCCATCGTGCTCAGCAATTGGCTGGAGTTGCCTGAGGGCAGTGTGTCCTCAGTTCCAACGCTGCAGTTCATCCACAGGTTGTCCCAGCCAAAGTTTGTCAGTTGACCCCACTCCTCATGGCAAATGCTCTCTTGGAGTGAGAGCTGGGTGGTGCATTTCCATCCCTGCTCCACTCCCACCATGAAAGAGAAAGACAAAATGAAAAAAAAAAAAAGAAAAAGAAAAGCCAAGGAAAGAGAAAAACAAAACCAACCAACCGACCAATTTAGGGGCGCCTGGCTGGTTCAGTGAGAAGTACATGTGACTCTTGATCTTGGGGTTGTGAGTTCAAGCCCCACGTTGGGTGTAGAGATTATTTAAGTAAGTTTAAAAAAATTCTTTAAAAAAAACAAAAACCCAAACAAAAACAAAAACCTTCCCGATAATTAATATCTTCTAGTAGTTATTTAAAAAAAAAGAATAGAATGCAGTGAAAAAAGGAGCCATAGAGAATAGAAAAAGATTCTTGGAAATTAAATATACAGTAGAGGGTTGGAAAGATAAAAGAAAAATAGTCATTCAGAGAGTAGCACAAAAAGAGAAAGAGATGAAATTTGTTGAGCACCTATTATATGTTGTTCTAGTGTCTGATGAAAAGCTGCAGACAAAATTCACAAAGCCTTTGCTTCTAAGGGCCTCCCAAGAAGAGAAATATGTGGGTGGACCAGTCCGGTAGGCACAACATTTGGCTAAAAGGAGTTCCAGAAAGAGAAGACAGCAACGAAGGGACAGAAAATTGATAAAAAATTAATACAAGAAACTTTTACAGGATTGAGGAGCATGCATCTCCAAAAGAAATGATCTGAACTTCTACTTTGGCCCAAGATGGAGTAACAGGGAATGGTTTTACCCTCCCACCCGAAACAACTGAAAAAAAAACAGACAAAGCAGGAGACAGTGGGGTTCGGACTTTGGAAATCAGGCAGCGGAGGACGGTGATCCCTGAGAGAAGAGAAGCATAGCTGGAAGTTCTGCAGTTGTCCCCACCTACTGCCTGGAATGAGTTTCCAGGCTACAGCACAAGGAGCGATAACTGGGGCAGAGCCTGGTGGTCTACTGGAGTTTTAGGAAATTTATACAGTTGTGGCAACCAAGATGGCAGACTTAAACCCAACCACATCAATAATCATGATCGATATACATGGTCTAGACAACCCAATTAAAAGGCAGATAAAAAAGGATGACCCAACTATGTGCTGTCTACAGGAAACCCACTTTATTTTTTATTTATATTTTTTAATTTAAATTCAATTAGCCAACATATAGTACATACTTAGTTTCAGATGTAGTGTTCAATAATTTATCAGTTGCGTGTAACACCCAGTGCTCCTCGAATCACGTGCCCTCCTTAATGCCCGTCACCCAGTTACCCCATCCCCCCACCCACCTGGAAACCCACTTCAAAAACGAAGACACAAGTAGGTGAAAAGTAAAAACTACACCATGCTAACACTAATCAAAATGATGCTGGAGTGGCTATATTAATATAGGGTATGCCATATAGACGCTAACTGAAAAGTCTTTATTAAGGGGCACCTGGATGGTTCAGTGGGTTAATCGTCTGCCTTTGGCTCAGGTCATGATCTCAGGGTCCTGGGATTGAATTCCCCGCATTGCATCGGGCTCCCTGCTCAGTGGGGAGCCTACTCCTCCCTCTCTCTCTGCCCCTCCCTCCCACTTGGGCTCTCTCTCAAATAAATAAAATCTTTAAAAAACAATGAGAAAAATCTATAATAATATCGGACAAAATCCGTGATAGAGCAAAGATTGTAACCAAACGATGAAGAAGGCCATTTCCTAATAAGAGGGTCGTTTCCACAAGAGGACACAATTCTAAAGGTTTATTCATCTAGCAACAAAGCTTCAAAATACATAAACCTGATAGAACTAACTATAAGGAGAAATGGACATTTTCTCAAGTATAGTCAGCAATGTTAATGCCCCCCTCAATAACTGATAAAACAAGTAGAAAATCAATAAGAATATAGAAGATTTCACCAATACTGTTAACTAATTTAGAATTCATATTTGTATCATATATATTTTTCCACATATGCTGGTATATTGTGTGTGAATAACAATGATTATATCTTCCTTTTTAATTCTTGTATAATTTTCTAGCACAGCGTTATAGAGGGGCAGTAGAGACATCCTTGTCTTGTTTCCTATCTCAGAGGAATGCTTCTGATATTTTGGCATTTATCAGATTAAGGAAATTTTCTTCTCACTTCGCTAAGAGTTTTCTTTTAAAAAAAATCATGTTGAATTTTTTCAAATTCTTCTGCCTCTATTGAGATAATCATATGGGTTTTGCATGTTATTTTGGTAAGGAGATGAACAACATTGGTTTCTAATATTAAATCAATCTTGCATTCCTAGAATAAACCCAATTGGTAGTTATGTATTATTCTTTTTATATATTACTGTATTAGGTTTGCTAATATTCTGTTTAGATTTTTTCCCATTTCTGCTCATGAGAAAGGCTGACCTATAATTTTCTTTTCTTTGTAATATCTTTATGACATTTCAAAGTCAAGGTTACAGTGGCCTCATAAGTGAATCGGGAAGTTCTTCTTTTCTTTCTAATCACGGAAGAGTTTGTTGTAAGTTTTATATCTCTTCCTTAAACATTTAGAAGAATTCGCTGGCAAAGCCATCTGGGCCTGGAGCTTAATTTGTGACTAGACTTTCAATTAGATTAAATTTTCTTAATGGCTATGGACTAGTCAGATTTTTTATTTATTCTTGTTTCAGTTTTTATAAACTGTGCTTTTTAAAGAATATTCCCACTTCTAAATTTACAAATTTAGTAGCATATAGTAATTAATAACATTTACTATTACCTTTTTAAGAAAAGATTTTATTTATTTATTTGAGAGAGAGACAGAGACAGCACGAGCAGGGAGAAGGGGCAGAGGGAGAGGGAGAAGCAGGCTCCTTGCTGAGCAGGGAGCCCCATGTGGGGCTCCATCCCAGGACCCCGAGACCATGACCTGAGCCAAAGACAGACACTTAACCAACTGAACCACCTAGGCGCCCCCTTACTACTACCTTTTAAAAACTTTTATTTTAAAAAATTTAAAAAATGTATTTTATTTAGGGGCATCTGGGTGGCTCAGTTGATTAAGGGACTGCCTTAGGCTTGGGTCGTGGTCCCAGGGTCCTAGGGTTGAGTTCCCATCAGGCTCCCTGCTCTTCGGGGAGCCCGCTTCTACCTCTCCCACTCCCCCTGCTTGTGCTCTCTCTCTGTCAAATAAATAAATAAAATCTTTAAATATTTATTTGACAGAGAGAGAGAGCGGGAGCGAGCACAAGCATGGGGGAG